TAGTGTCCGTGTGTTAGTGTCCGTGTGTTAGTGTTAGTGTCCGTGTGTTAGTGCGTTAGTGTCCATGTCTTAGTGTCCGTGTGTTAGTGTCTTAGTGTCCGTGTCTTAGTGTCCGTGTCTTAGTGTCCGTGTGTTAGTGTGTTAGTGTCCGTGTGTTAGTGTGTTAGTGTCCGTGTGTTAGTGTCCGAGTGTCTGTGTGTTAGTGTCCGTGTGTTAGTGTGTTAGTGTCCGAGTGTCCGTGTGTTAGTGTCCGTGTGTTAGTGTGTTAGTGTCCGAGTGTCCGTGTGTTAGTGTCCATGTGTTAGTGTGTTAGTGTCCGTGTGTCAGTGTGTTAGTGTCCGAGTGTCCGTGTGTTAGTGTCCATGTGTTAGTGTGTTAGTGTCCGTGTGTTAGTGTGTTAGTGTCCGAGTGTCCGTGTGTTAGTGTCCGTGTGTTAGTGTGTTAGTGTCCGAGTGTCCGTGTGTTAGTGTCCATGTGTTAGTGTGTTAGTGTCCGTGTGTTAGTGTGCGAGTGTTAGTGTCTGAGTGTCGAAGCATCCTTCAAGCTAAAGTAAAAGCTGCTTCAGCTGAAGTTTCACTTTTGAACAAGGAAGAAGTTCAGAGGACTTGCAGGGGTTTTCCAGGCCGCCAGACAGACAGATAGATTGTATCTGCTTCAACACAAACAGCTGGCTGTCACTACGACAGCTTGTTTCAGTCTCTTAGTCATGATCAGCTGATTTGAACTGTTTCATTTGATTCCTTGTCTAAGACCTGAGGAGGTGAACGACACCAGTGTGTTTTACATGTGCAGCTTTCTAACCTCTGGTCAGCTCAGCACCAACGTGTCTTAAAACAAAAGACCACCAACAGCACCAAGAAATAATAATAAACTTTGACACAGGAATCGTCAAACACTGGCCAATAAAATAGCATTAAATAAAAGTTTACAATGGCAAGAGTTTAGTCATCGAACGCAGCAGCGTGTGAAAGATTCAGAGGCTTTATAAGAAAGTTGTTGCCTGATGTCAGTATGCAAAGTGTTCTACAGTCTGGTGCTCAAACATGATCCACACCGGGACTCTGTAAACCCTGCATAGCATCTTTCAAAGTGATCAGAATTTAAAGAAAGGGAACAGAAGTGGATGTCGGCCTGAAGCGAGTCGTCTGGCCTAAAGACACGACGAGGAGTCAACGCCTCAACGTGTCTTTGTTCAAAAGATCTGTTTTTCAAACTCTGCTAATTCTTCTGCCCAATGCTGTTAACGTGATCATGGATCACTGAAATGAAAATAAAAGTTCTAACTTAACAAAAAGAAACAGGATGTAAAATGTTCAGTAAGTAAAATGTAGATCGGAGATCCGTCGGATAAAAAGAACAGCAGCTTTAGTAGCCAACTGGTTCGTCTTTAATCATCTTCTAGTTTCTTCAGCTCTCAGCTCGGCAGACATTTCACCCAGATAGACACACATTTGTGTGTTTATCAGCTGGATGACTTTGGGGAAGAAGCTCCGTTGAAGTGTTCTGTCCTGCCGAGCCGTGAGCACCACCTGCCAGAGGTGGAGGGTCACCGTGATCTTGATGGCGTGCGTTGGGTGTGTCGGGACTCCAGTGGGGGAGATCTTTGATGCTCTGGTTGTAATTTTGTCCATTTTCTTTATGGTGTGCTCAGATGTGTTTCTATAGTGACTGATGGTCACCGGGTGTCTGGATTAAGGCTGCGTAAACCTGGACCAGCAGACCCTACCTGACTCTGGATGTAGACTCTCTTGCGCTTTTTGGATTTGATGGTTTGCGTTGAGGTCCCACGTCAGGTACCAAGGATCCTGAAGGAGTCCGTAATTGTGACTGGTTGGCTGTCTTTGTTTTGTTCTGAGGTCGATGATCATTTCAGGAGTCGACTTTCCATTGGGAGGTCAGAACCGGGTCGTTGTCCCTGCACCAGCTGACTAACCTCTCAACCTCTCAGCCTCCAGCCTGTAGGCGTCTTCATTGTCTTTCGAGATCGGCCCTATGATTGTGGTGTCATCTGCATAAGTCCTGCTGGAATTTGATGTTGTTCTGAAATCGCTGATGAAGAGGAAGAAGAGCAGCGGGGACTGAACCGTGTCCCTGTGGACCCCCATGCTGGTGGTGGGGAGTGGTGATGTTGAATCTGACAGCTTGGCTCCTGTCGTTTAAGAAACTCCAGGATCCGGAGGCACAGTGAGGTGTTGGTGTTCATGTCCTAGAGTTTCCTGAACAGCTGTATTAAAAGCAGAAGTGAAATCCGTGCAGAGATATATGTGGACTCCAGATGTTGGCGGGTGCAGTGCCAGGCTGACGGCATCATCTGTGGACCGGCATGATATGCAAATAGGGGGTCCATCAGGAGGGATGGGACTGATTTAATGGACTGTGTGCTCGCAGGCCTTCTTAGCCACGTATGTCGGGGCCACAGGCCTGAGGCCACATACTTGTGCTGTTTTGGGAACGTGGATGACGGTGGGTTTTTTGCAGAGAGCTGGGACCTTTTGTTGGCTGGCTGAGGAGTTACAGATGACCACCAAGGCTGGGGTTATTCTTGAAACGATATCACAGATTTAATAGGTATGCAGATCTGCGTTCACACCACGGAAAACGAAAAGGCCGGAAAAACCAGCCGAACGGAGCTCGTACTGGGGCTCTGGGCCGCCGTTCTTCAGGAGAGGCTGAATAATCGTTGTCGTTGTTACGAATGAGAGCAGCTGAGTGTGGCAGCTCCTTCCTCTCGGTCCGACCTCTCAGCTGTCTGTTGCAGCGCCCCCTGCTGGGCGGAGTCACTGAACACAGATCCAAGCACTTCAGAAGAACTTCCCTCTGTTTGTGTATCAGCTGTTGTGTGTTGACGGAAAACCCCTCTGCTGCTGAGAACTGAGACGGTTTCTGTTTCTGCTGAGAGCTCAGTCATGTTTTCAGTCAGTGTGACACCTCGGCGGTGTTTTAACCTCCTCTGGTCCTCAGATCCTGTCCTCTCAGCACCCATCTGTCAGATAATATCACTGCAGTCCCACAGTGTTAGTGAAACACACCCGGACTTACGGTGTGTACCAGCTCTCTTTGTGCGCCTCTCAGTTCTGATTGAATTCAGTTTAACTGTTTCCAGTTAACTGTGGATTATTGTAAATGCTGCTGTTCAGCGAATCATTCGGGTCTTTTATTTTGAAGTTTCAGGAAACCAGTCAGTTTTGTTGAAGTCACACACAGGAAGGTATGTGAGTGTAATTATGCAGTCAGTGGAAAAGCCCCTAGCATCCCCACAGCTGAGCCCTGACAGGAAGTGGTGTGTTTCTGAGTGTGTGTGTGTGTGTGTGTGTATCAGCTGATTGTGTGGTCAGGGCAAAGGGCAAAGGTCAAAGGTCACATATCTTTGTGTTTTGAAGGTAACTAACCTGCTCAAGTTTCTCATGTAGAAACTTGCTTTTGCTTTTCTGTTTCTCTGTTTAATGGCAGGCAGGATTTTACACAGCAGACGTAGTGATGCAAGTAATACTGATAATATTAGTAATATTAGTAATAATAGTAATAATGATAGTAGTAATGGCACTAATAATAATATTTGTGGCAGCAGGTGGTTTGGTCCCCATGACGCTCCAACACCTCGAGTCCAGCTTTTCTATTTTATGGGTTTAATAGCCTGATTTGAAGTGCTGAACCAGAGGGGGTCAGGGTTAGGGTTAGGGGAGTACTGTGAGGAGTCGGGGGGGTCAGGGTCAGGGTTAGGGGAGTACTGTGAGGAGTCGGGGGGTCAGTTGAAGTACAACAGAGTTTTTCCTGCAAAGAGAAAGTTTTGGTCCCCCCAAAGAGGTTTTAGCGAGCGACAAAGGAAAATCACCAGCGCCAAAATGATCAGAATTGAAAAAGTGTTTCAGATATTCTCCGAATGTGTTTTAATAGCCATTAATCAAACAGCTTTTGAGCAAGCAGAACATAAACTTAAATATGACGTCTTGACTTCCAGCCGTCCCTCTCCTCTCACCCACAGCGCTGTTCTTTTTCTTTTCACCTGCAGCAGCGCTGGATTTATAAATCAGTGCTGCGTTGTTTTAACTGCACCTGAACGCTCCGCTACGAGGCTCGTGCTTCTGGGAGAGATGACTTCCTGTTATTTCTCACAAGATAAAAGCCGTTTATGCTTCAAGCCTGTATTCACCGGTACTGTCACTTTGGCGTACCGGCCCCGGTCCTCTGCCCTCTCCAGATCAGGTTCTCTGGGCTCCACGTGACGCTCACCTGTTGCCGTTCTCTCAGCCTGCTGATCTCTGCGGGGCGATCGGGAGCCTTTCGTGCGCTAGCTGCTCGTCAGAGTCACTTTTCGTGACCTGACCAATCACAGCCTGGAGGAGGCGGGACATTAAAAAAGGCTGAGGCGCTGCAGCAAACTTTAGAAATGCTGAACTCGTCGTTCTGTATGCACGGTTTTTATTTCTGACAAGTTAATTTGCATAAACAAATGAGAGTCTGACCACCATGTGGAGCGTTTTTCTTGCTCAATATCTGAAAACAACCCACAAAATGAAACAGCTGTTTTGTCCGATTGGAATTAATATTAGGCTACTAACGGTGAGCTATGGTAGTCTGTATAATGAACATCAGCACTAATCAAACCTTCACCACAGGGCTGTAGGCTGATGTCAGAGAAAGGTTTTATTTAGTGATCTGTAGGCAGATTATCCAAATCAAGTGTAATCTGTAAATATTTTATTATAACATCATACTTCACTTTTATACCTTCACTCCTCCCGGTTGTGGATAAATGGTCACAAATGCATAACGTAAGGTGACTCACTGTACCGTACTGATCAGAGCATTTAGTGATTTGTAGTTAAATGATTGTTTAACATGTGACCTGACCAAGTATCAGTCATAGGCCACGCCCCCCTGCTGGCCTCCAGTGAGCATGTGGAGTGAGACGAGGCGTTCGCTGTCAGTCTGCTGTCAGAGGAACTTTTAGTTCAAACTGTTTATCTCATTGGCTCATGAACTCCCCCCTCCCCCCACAGGTCATGTCAGCGGGGAGGAGTGCTGACGGGAGGGAGGTGCAGATTCCCCTCCAGCAGGTGGCGCCCTCCCTGGCCACGCCCCTGGTGGTTCCACCCATCACACCGCCCTCTCACCGCCCAGCCAATCCCTGGCCCCCCAGCGACCCAAACGCTTCTCAAGGTAAACGCTTCAAACACTACATGGCCCTGCTATTGGCTGAGAGGTCCAATCAGCGCCTCCTCAGCACGTCTCACTGCAGAGCCTCAAACGTCCGGCAGACGCCGCTGTGATCTGACTGTAGTGAAGTGAATGTGCGTCTCTGTGTTCAGGTGTCCCTGCAGGTTTCCTGCCTCTTCACGGAGGATTCAGAGATCACTTTGTAGAAACTCCAGAAGCCAAATACTGCTGCGAGGCCTGCAGGCTGGTCCTGTGTCAGCCCCGCCAAACCGAGTGTGGACACCGCTTCTGTCAGAGCTGCATCCACGACATCCTCAGGTGAGACACCGTGTGAGAGACGGAGACAGGAAGTGGTTTCCAGGTGTGTGCTTACATTTACATTCATTTATTCATTTAGCTGCCGCTTTTATCCAAAGCGACTGCTATACATGTCAGAGGTCGCACGCCGCCAGAGGCAGGCGTCTTATCCACTGCACCGTCACACCTGCTGAGTCACCTTTCAGCTAAAAGAGTAATATCACACCCACATTCTGACGTCTTTGCTGCGTGCAGGTAGACCTGTGATGTTAGAACAGCTGTAGCAGGTGGTAGGTAGAGAACAACCTCCTAGACCCCACTCAGCTACCCCCCGTGCTGTTAGAGCGAACTCTGCTCCTGGTCCTGGACCTGCCACAGATCCTCCTCTCAAAGTGGGGGGCGTCTCAGGCGGCTCCGTGCTGGCCCCGCCCTCTCCTCCCTCTGCACGAGGACGCCGGCGCTGTCATGCACCTGCCCGGCTTCTCCTAAGTCTGCTGCACCAAAGACGTGTTTGTCATCCCCCATCTGACAGGGGCCCCTCACAGACACCTGTCCATGATCTCAACACGGTGGTGGTGTCACCTGGAAAAGGGGCGGGGCCGAGGAGTGAGTGACCCTAGATTACGGCATTCTCTGCTAACAGGTTTGCCGTCAGACCTCTGCAGCTTAAGAAAGAGATGAAGTCCCAGGTGTGCAGGTGTTAACTCGGCCGGCTGCTGGGGCTGCTTGTGACGGTGAACGTGGTGGAACAGGCTGCAGTTCATCCTCTGACCAGCAGGTGTCTTCAGTTGAGTCGTAACTTTATGCCTTCTCTCCTCCTGCAGTCATCCAAACCCGGTATGTCCAGCTGACATGGAGCCTCTGTTCAAAGACAAGGTGGGCAGGAAGTGACATCGCAACAGTGATCGAGTTGTCGTGGGTTATCGGCTGATTATTGAAGCTCCTGTGTTTGTGTTTCAGATCTTCAGAGACGTTTGCTGCCATCGGGAGATCATGGCGCTGAAGGTTTACTGCCGCAGTGAAGCTAACGGCTGCCAGGAGCAGATGGGTCTGCAGCAGATACCCGTGAGTGCTAAAACACACATTCTGACAACAGAACCCTGCTCTCTGATTGGCTGTAGGGAGTCTCGAACACCAGTTTAACCACCAGAGTTAATCCACGTACAGGTGATCTGAACTCGCTGCCGCTCTGTCTCTCACCTGTTTGTCTGCAGGACCACCTGAATGTGTGTCCGTTCTACGAGGTTCCCTGTCCGTTGGGTAAATGTAAAGAGCGAATGATGAGGAAAGAGATTCCCGACCACCTGAGCTGGAAATGTAAACACAGAGAAACCAGCTGCGAGTTCTGCATGACCAAGATGCCTCTGACCGACCTGCAGGTATCTTATGACATCACTGCTGACCGACCTGCAGAGGTCTGGGGACTAGTTGAAGGTCATGTTTGTCATGAAGTCTTAGCCAGGTGGAGCTTAAGGTACTTGGACCTCCCGTCAGGCTGGAGGTTCTCTGGTGTCCCAGAGACAGTTTGATTGGACACAGAGTGTCCCTGTGGTTCTTAGACTGCTTGTTTCTGCCTGACAGCTGAAGCGGAGTGTTTGTTTTGATGGTGAGACTGATACAGTTTCTGTCTCTCTTCAGAAACACAAAGAGACGGTGTGTCCGGCGTTTCCGGTGTCGTGTCCAAACCACTGCTCCTTCTCCTCTCTGCCCCGGAGTGAGGTACTGATCCGGTTTGTCTTCTGTCAGAGGACTGCGGTTGGCTTTGTCCTGCAGTTTGACAGCAGCAGTTAGTGTTGATCATACTGACCGGTCTGCTTCTGTTTCAGCTGTCTGCTCATCAGCACGATTGTCCCAAAGCTCAGGTGAGCTGTCAGTTCCACCGCTTCGGCTGCACCTTCAAGGTAACTCCTCCTCTTCTCAGTGCGACTGTCCCACTGTGTACTACAGTACACAGTACCACTGTGTACTGTATGTAGTACACAGTACCACTGTGTACTGTATGTAGTACACAGTACCAGTGTGTACTGCGTTAATGTGTTTACTTTATGAACTGTGTTCTTGTGTTTCAGGGTTTGAACCAGGACCTAAGGCAGCATGAGTCCACCTTCGCAGCTGAACACCTGAGAATGATGGCCAACAGAAACTGCACGTTAGAGAACAAGGTGAGCGAAGCAGTCGGCCGAGGGAACCGCAGCAGAAGGCGGAGTTCACCTGACTGATTTTTGCTTTATATTTCCAGGTGGAAGATGTTAAAGGTGAGCTGTTGGAGAGGTATAAGGTGCTTCCTGCTCTCAGCAACCGTCTGTCTGACCTGGAGAACCAGAACGACGAGCTGAGAGAGAAGAACCGACAGATGGAGCAGAAACTGGCCAACATGCAGGTAATGCTAATGCACTGATTCTACTGAGGAAAGGCAAAATGTTTATGCAGCTCATTTCTTATTCAAGTTCAAAGTGGGTTAAAGTTCAGAAAAATAAAGTGAAGGAGCCCACATGATTAAATCTTGAAATGAGTCAATGAGGAGAAATGGCATCTGCATTATGACAAAAGTTGTACGAGAGCTTTATTTGTAGACCCAAGAAAAGACTGTGACAGTAACGTAACCTCCGCGACATGAATGCACAGGGTTCCCGCGGCTCCTTAAAAAGTCTTAAAAGGTTTTAAATTGAAATCAGGGAAATTAAGGTCTGAAATTGTCTTAAATTTACCATAAATTTGCTTTAGGTATTAAATTTGCCGTTTAAGGCTGGTGGGAAGACTAAAACGCCTAATTAGCGTGTATTTGTGAGATTTTCTTTTAGTAATTGACAATGCAAGACCCCGCAATTAATATAAGTCATGTTGCGTTTACGTTAGCTGCAGACGTTGACGTCATATTATCGTCAGTCGTGGCTGCAACATTGGGAGACGCAAGTTAAAGTGGTTGGAGGAAGATCCGATTGTTCTCTCTAGCTCAAACAACTGTAGCCTTCATCACGTCCTCCTCTCATTTGCGCAGGTCCAAAAAATGATCTTGAACTACAGGTTAAAATAACTTTCTAAAGTGTGTCTTTCACCGTGATTTGTTTTGCTCCATGGATTATTTACCTCTCTTCAGCGGCGCCTGTTTATTAGCTCTGCCGGAAAGTGAAACTTAAGTTCGGTCCGACATCGTTTTCTTGCTACCTTCGTTATAATGTTAAGTTACTCTTTTCTGTTATTTTAGTGGTTTAGTTTAACACAGCAGCGTGGGAGGAAGAGCTGGGCAATATGGACAAAATAGTAAGATCATTATTTTTATTATTATAAGTTTAAAGGCTGCTTTTTGCTCCTGAAGAAACCAGATGGTTAATTGTGCTTTTAAACTTTTCTTTATGGTCAGAACAAACACTTGATGCCAAAAAGCAGCCTGGTATCAAACAGTGGATCACTTCACAGAGCTGAGGTAGATCATCCAAAACAACAAATATGCATAAGAAAAATTAAGTAAAATCTTTTTTCAGTCCGTTTTCCTCAACAAAATAAATATCTTAATAGAAAAGAAAGTGCTGATTCAAATGAATTAAATCAAATATTTATTGAACATTTGTATATATTTTTTAGGAAGATTGTTTTATTGCCCCCTAGTTCACGTTCACAAACTGACACGATCAGTTCATCAAAAACATGAGCAAGATCAATAATCTGCACTGTTGGAGCACGTTTATGCACAACACTGAATGGACACACTGTCCAGGCTCCTGTCTGCGCTGTCAGACTTTTGGATTTTATTTGCAGAAGACTGTGACCGGTACATATTTCCACCCAAGTAGTTGTTGTATGTGGATAGACAACACATTTGCATCCTCATGGTGTCCCCGACCACCTCCAGAGGTCGTTTTTCTGATCGGATCACAATCTGTCCTCAATGCGTCTCGGGTTACACGTGTACTTTCATGTGCTCAAGTGCTACAAGATCACGATCTGACACCCAAAATACATTTTAATGCCAGGTGTAAACAGCGTCTATGTTCCCTGATTCGGAATATGCAAAGTCTTTCACCTGTGGTGAAAATAAAACTGACAAATATGGCATTGCGTCGTTCATTAAGAGATCAAACGCACACATCTTTTCTATCAAAGAAATTGTTTCAAAATTTGAGGTCTTAAATTTATATTTGTTGAGGTCTTAAAAGGCCTTAAAAAGCATTAAATTTGACTTTTAAAATGGTGCAAGAACCCTGATGCATGAATCAGGTTTGATTTAATGTGACTGCTAAAATTTACATCTGAGCTCAAACAAACCCCACGTTCAGTTTTTACAGAAGACACAGTGCAGTACTCTGCACAGTACTGTATGTAGTACATCGTATGAACAGTATGACTAAACCTTATTTGGCAGATGCAGCTGTGAATAAAGGTTTATCTGATTTTAAAGTGGGTGGGAACAATAAACACTGAACGTGGAGCTTAAAGAGGGGCCCAAACTCCACACTCAGACTTTGAGGGAAAGTTCCCGGTAAGTCCGCGAGGGTCAGGTGCATGAGAGCAACATCCTTCTGAGCCCTTTCCCTAAGTCTGGAATTACTGTGGGGAATTACCCACAGTTCATAGCACTGTGACGTTAAACACGGGGAAGCCCGAAGCATTAAAAAGGTAAACAAACATGGAAGGAGCAACTAGAAGAAAAATGTAAGTTCTGATCCTGTTTTGATAAAAACGAGCGAGCTGATTGTTTGAAAATGACGTCTCATCCAGTCCATCAGGCAGCAGCCTGGAATATATTCAAACCAGACAGTCGGTCCCTTCAAGTAAAAAGTCTCAAACCCATAATTATCCAAAGAAGGTTTAAATCAAGGGTTACTGGACTTCGTTGAAACCTATAATTGTATGTAACATGTTTAGGCATCGTCAAGGTAATGTGATACGTCGCTGAGTGTTGTCCCATTCAACCATTGTTCCGCCTTACCAGGTGACTTCAGCTACGTCTGTCAGGGTTTAGGGTGCAGATTGGGATTGGGCCAGTGACACAACTGAAACCAAAGTCTGCGCTGTAGAACCTCATCACCAGCAGCTATACCTACTGTTAGGAACACTGATCGGTCCCTCCCCTAAACCTGGACAGCCAATCATCTCTCTCTCTTCCACAGAAACTCATGAGCTCTCACTCAGAGAAGCTCCTGGAGGTGGAGCTGGAGCTTCGTTCTCTGCGCGTGCTCAGAGACGAAGTGGAGAACCTGAGAGGAACGCTGGAGAACGTCCGGACAAGACTGAACGCTCTGGAACAAGGAGGGCGAGGCGGGACTGGATCCACAACACATACTCTGGGTCAGAACACACACATTGAGGATTTGGGGCTAGCTGCAGAGGTCACACACAGTCAATCAATAACTCAAAAATGAATATCCACCTCTCTACAGCATCCCTGGAGACACAGATGAATCGGCATGACGACATGCTGAGTGTCCATGACATCCGATTGGCGGACATGGACTTACGTTTCCAGGTGCTGGAGACGGCAAGCTACAACGGGACTCTGATCTGGAAGATTCGTGACTACAAGAGACGGAAACAGGAAGCGGTGGCTGCGAAGACGCTGTCGCTGTACTCGCAGCCATTTTACACCGGGTACTTCGGGTACAAGATGTGTGCACGTGTCTACCTGAATGGAGACGGCATGGGCAAGGGGACACACCTGTCGCTGTTCTTTGTGGTGATGAGGGGCGAGTACGACGCCCTGCTGCCCTGGCCCTTCAAACAGAAGGTACCGACTGGTTGTTATTACTTTACTGAGTGGTTACTATCTGATTTACCATCTGGTTAGCTACTGATGAAGGGCGAGTATACTGCACTGCTGCCCTGGTCCTTCAAGGACTGTGCGCTGACTGGTTTACTGATTGGTTAACCAGGTGCTTTAGAAGTGTAGCAGTTCTGTAGTTCTGAGTATTTTGGGTTCAAGCAGGTTAAACTGTCTGTTGGGGGCCAAAATGATGCTGACCTGTCTGTCTGTCTCTTCGTTGGTCTTTCTCCTTGCTTGTCTGTCTGTTAGGTGACTCTGATGCTGATGGACCAGGGTCCCTCAAGGAAACACTTGGGTGATGCCTTTAAGCCGGATCCAAACAGCAGCAGCTTCAGAGTCCTGCAGCAGAGATGAACATTGCTTCTGGCTGTCCTCTCTTGTGTCTCAGAGCGTCCTGGAGACGGGCAGCTACATAAAAGACGACACCATCTTCATCAAGGTGAGTTTACACAACACCCGCTGCTACTGTTCCACTAGCTGCTCATCATCATCTGCTTACATCACAGTCCTGGGGACTAGTTGCAGAGGCCTGGGGACTAGTTGCAGAGGCCTGGGGACTAGTTGCAGAGGCCTGGGGACTAGTTGCAGAGGTCTGTGGACTAGTTGCAGAGGTCTGTGGACTGGTTGCACAGGTCTGGGGACTGGTTGCAGAGGCCTGGGGACTAGTTGCAGAGGCCTAGGGACTAGTTGCAGAGGCCTGGGGACTAGTTGCAGAGGTCTGTGGACTAGTTGCAGAGGTCAGGGGACTGGTTGCAGAGGTCTGGGGACTGGTTGCAGAGGTCTGGGGACTGGTTGCAGAGGCCTGGGGACTAGTTGCAGAGGCCTGGGGACTAGTTGCAGAGGCCTGGGGACTAGTTGCAGAGGTCTGTGGACTAGTTGCAGAGGTCTGGGGACTGGTTGCAGAGGTCTGGGGACTGGTTGCAGAGGTCTGGGGACTAGTTGCAGAGGCCTGGGGACTAGTTGCAGAGGCCTGTGGACTGGTTGCACAGGTCTGTGGACTGGTTGCACAGGTCTGTGGACTGGTTGCAGAGGTCTGTGGACTAGTTGCAGAGGTCTGTGGACTAGTTGCACAGGTCTGGGGACTAGTTGCACAGGTCTGGGGACTAGTTGCAGAGGCCTGGGGACTAGTTGCAGAGGCCTGGGGACTAGTTGCAGAGGCCTGGGGACTAGTTGCACAGGTCTGGGGACTGGTTGCAGAGGCCTGGGGACTAGTTGCAGAGGCCTGGGGACTAGTTGCACAGGTCTGGGGACTGGTTGCAGAGGCCTGGGGACTGGTTGCAGAGGCCTGTGGACTAGTTGCACAGGTCTGGGGACTAGTTGCAGAGGCCTGGGGACTGGTTGCACAGGTCTGGGGACTAGTTGCAGAGGCCTGGGGACTAGTTGCACAGGCCTGTGGACTGGTTGCACAGGCCTGTGGACTGGTTGCACAGGCCTGTGGACTGGTTGCACAGGCCTGTGGACTAGTTGCAGAGGCCTGTGGACTGGTTGCACAGGTCTGGGGACTAGTTGCAGAGGCCTGGGGACTAGTTGCACAGGTCTGGGGACTAGTTGCAGAGGCCTGGGGACTAGTTGCAGAGGCCTGGGGACTAGTTGCAGAGGCCTGGGGACTAGTTGCACAGGCCTGGGGACTAGTTGCACAGGC